TGCCTTGCGCTCGGGGCGGCCTTCCTGTCCGTGCCGGGGCTGGCCGTCTCATTGGCTGCCCTTTGTTTGTTTTTTATGATGCGTTCTCTGTCAAAATGGGTTTTGACATAAGCAGGAACTATGAAGCTGAAATTAGTGGTTCTAAATGCGGGCACATACACACGCGTGTGAAAACTGTCTCGAAGAAATGCTTCCCAGAGCATGCTGGCCTTTGTTAGCGTACAAAAATGCACTGATGGAGTTGATGCTTTTTGGTGTTGTCAGTGAACTTCTGGGCCTTGAGTGACCATCTGTGGAAAAATTGGCCTCCAGCTCCTAAACCACAGAGTTCTCCTCTTGCGGTCCTGGGAGGGCCAGCAGGGTTAGGAACTTGGTGTAGCGAATCTGAAGGGAGACAAAGCCGTAAGAATGCATGAGTTCTGTGTCTGATGGGGAAATGGCTATAGTGTTTAGCATTGCCTTCAGACGTAGAGACCACCTGTGCAGCGATAAGGATGTAGGTGTTCAGATGGAAATGTAGTAGTGTTCTGTGGTTGTGCAGATGGATAACTGTTTGTGCTTAGATAAGGTTTATAGGGATGGGTAATCAGTTACAAGAGCAGCCAGCTAAGATTTCAGGCATTTACATCTTTCTTCAGCAGTGAGTTTGATGTTCAGGTCCAGGCAGCCCTCAAATTTAAACTTAAGTTACAGTTTTCATGGGTACTGTGATTTATCATTGCTTGTGTATGTATCCTGCTCTGTGTCTTAAATACTGTATCATCTCAAGCTGTAATATGAAGCAGATCTGATGGATTGAGTTTATTCACTTAGGGTCTGTTGTGAGTTGGCAAGCCATTAAGGTACAGGTGAAGAATTAGGATGATCCTTGTGAAAACAAATGTAAAACTTTACACAAGTGAAGTGAGGCTGTGTCTGCCCAGTCCTTTGGAGGTCTCCAATACTGACATTGTTGCATAGTGGTAATTGTTAAGTGAAGGCCCAGGCTTTCCTTCTCACCATGAATTAACATGTTGCTGTTCTTCAGGTGAAAGGTAAAATCGAGGGCTTGATGTTTGTGCTCTTTGAAGATGCTGTGTCAGTTTCTGTAAAGCTTCTTGTAGGCTAGGGAATGTGTTTCTTGCTCTCATGCTTCCCTAAAGCAGGCCCACAGAAGGAGCTGTTTCAAAATAGGTTGGCACTATAGGATAGATCTGGGTTAAGAAGATCCCACTGGATCTAAAGATTTCACTTTAGAAATAATTCAAATTGCTCAAGAATCCTTTCTGCTTTTCTAAAAGATACAATTAAGTAAGATTCAGCATCATTTAAAAAAAAATTCTATATGAGGGAGTCAATATTGGATAAGCAACGCTCCTAGTTTTAGGATGTGTTTGCTTGATGCTTTTCACTGGATACAGCACATTGCCCACCTTAAGTTGTGGCAGGTAATGTGTGTTCTCTCTCCTTGATGTGACTGCTGCTTGCAGGGATTTCTTCTGTCTTGCTCCTATTATGTGGAGTTCTTACATTCACAAGTATTAGTGAGAGGGCTTTCCCAAATATTTAAAATTTTGAAAAGAGTGCATGTGGGGAGGGAGTTCTGCCTTGTAGAAACTCTGGTAATTTTTCTTGTCACTGCATCTAGTAACAGTTAGTTTGTTGAAGCCTAAAACAGAAAATTGGGGTGAAGAATAACAGTGTTAATCAATGATGAACCTGGCAATAAGAAATTTGATTTCAATGTATTGGACATTGCCCTCTGGTATAAGGTAGTCATTCGTCTTTTTACTGGGTGGGGAGGGGGGAAGAATATTTTATACAAAAATTATTTGTGATTAAGCACGGGATACGTTGACTGAGTGATGTATTTACAAGTGCCTGTCAGGTACTTGGAGGTCATTAGTAACTTATTGTAAACTCTGCTGCTTTCATGCGTTGACAGAAGAAATGGTGAATTCAGATTATCTCCTTGTCTCAATATTGTCATGTGTTCTTATAAATGTAGGAGACCATACCCACCAGAGCTTATAACGTTCTGGTGTAGTGCTGTTCTGTATTGTTGATGGCCTAGAGAAAAGCAAGAGGCATCTTTTTTTGGGGGGGAAAAAAAAAAACCAACCAAAAAAACCAACAAACCAAAAAAACCAAAACAAAAAACCCCAAACAAAAAAAGAACTACCACCAAAAAACAGGTGATGATGGAGTGACAGGAAGAATCTGTGTTTGAACTCTTAAGTTCTGAAGTAAGTGAATGGCTGGTGCTGAGGTTTCTCTTATGTTTTCATTACTGGAATGCTTTGAAGCACCACTTTTTTTTTTTCTTCTCAGTTTAGGTCACTGTGGTAAAAGACAAGGAAGTATTTCTCACCACAGTGAGAGAAACCACAGAAGATTTCAGTTTCCAGTTTTTCCCCCCATTTATGGTGTAGCTTTCTGTTTGAGATGGAGATAGTTTGCTGCTTATTAATGGTGTTTATAATGTTAATTTCTAACTATGCTGACATAATTTCTGTCAGTTCTTGGATATGGGGAGAGTTTGTTTATTTTAAACATGCTGCTTCTAGTTATGTGTTTGCTGCTTTTATTTGAGCATATTTGTTTGTTTGCCTTTTAGCCTGGCACTATAAACATGAGTAATTGAGAATCTACATGTGAGTAGTAATTGTGTATTGTGATGAATGAGATCCTGTCTTAATATATCTATCCTGTAGTGTGAGGTGCGTACCTGGTGGTTCCTGTGGTGAAAGCAGGGCTCTGCCAGCATGCTTATTTGTAACTGGAGATCAAAACAATTTGTCACTTATGTGATACATTTTAGTTTTTGCTCTCAGTCGTCAAGTGAGCTGGGCTGCTGTATTAAAAAGAGCTGTCTTTTTTTATACATATATATGTTCTGCATATCAGTAGCATATTTTAGAAGATTGAACAAAAGTACTCAACAGAAGTGTCAATGGTATACGCTTAGGCTGTTGCTTGTGGGATGAAGTGTGGACGTATGCTAATCACATGCAAGACTTGACCCATATGTCCCCTCCACAAAAGGTACTGTGTAGATATAGAATGGAAGTTGCTGGTACTTTCCATAACACCAGTTGAATCATGAATTTAACAAGGCTGTGTAACGGCATGGATACTTCTATCTGATGATGTTTTTCCCTCATACCTACCGTCTTAGAAAGTTCCCACCGGCCTTTTATATCATCTGTTGGCCTTCACATGTTAAATGACAGTTTTCTGGGGCCGTAAATATAGGAGTGGGAGGACCTGCCCAACTGACTGTGCAGGAAGCAGGCGCTGAAAGGGCTGGACTGTTCAGTGTGCTGGCACTGGTGTAAGTATGTCTTGCCCTCCCATCTACTCTAAGACCCAGATTCTCTGGGGCAGTAAACCTGTGTAATAAGGAACTGGTAGCCTTGCTGAGCAGCCTGCTCTCTGTTAGGGATCAAGACAGGGTGCAGACAGCTGTGAGCAACATCCTACTCTGTTCTCCCTGCCAGTTGCTATTTTTAACTCTATAATATCCAAAGGCTGCAAACAGTATTAGAGGTATCTTCCCGCAATGATGATTATAATTTCAGTCCTTAAGAGCAAACATTGTGTTTGCACAATAGTTTGGGGTACTAGGTAGATGCACTGACTGGATTGTTCATGTTGGATGGATAAGCAAGTAGTTTTTTGAGCTCCATTCTCCTTTAGAGTTGATTTTTCTGTTATGTTCGGTTCTTTTCTATGAAAAGATACATAGTCTATAAGGTAAAGAGCATTTTGTGCCAAATCCCAGCGAAAGAAAATTTTTTCTTTACTGTGCAAATAGGCTTCCCCCGGCCCACTCACTATCATCTCAGTTTGCAGTACTTACCAACTTGAGAGTGCATCTGGGCCCTCTCTGGCTGGTGCTGTGATTGTAGCATCTTGCTGGAGTATCTGGGAATAGGTCAGGTGTGACGGACAAGGGCCTTTTGACGCAGAACGCGTGGGAGTGGCTGTAATGTGAGATTTGGAATAAGTACCAGAGCTGCTTTTGAAGGCTGCTGCAAAGGACAAGATGTCTTCCTTCTATGCTGTTAGGTTCATAGTGGGGATGAGCAGGACCATCCAGACTGTCTTTTAATATTCTGCAAAGTGGCTAAAAAAGTGGTTGGAAGTACTGTGTACTTGGGTATAGTAATAGGAACTTTGGGGTATGATGTGATTGATGTTAGCTTGCTTTCTTCTGTAGCAAGCCTTGCTTGCAATGGCTCCTAACTCTCTCTCTCTCTTGCATTCTGTAGGCACTGGGGAGAGTGGAAAAAGCACGTTCATTAAGCAAATGCGTATAATTCATGGCTCAGGCTACTCTGAAGAGGACAAAAAAGGCTTCACCAAGCTGGTGTACCAAAACATCTTCACTGCCATGCAGTCTATGATCAGGGCCATGGAAACCCTGAAGATTCTGTACAAATATGAACAGAACAAGGTAAGTTTCTCACAATTTTTGCGTGTGTTTTCAGGCAATGGTGATTCTAGGGTTTGACTCCTAAGTTCCTGTTTGTTTGTGTCCTTCTGCATTGCAATCTCAACCTCCCTGAACTCTTTCC